GAGGCCGATGTGAAATGAGAAAATGAAGCTTTTGGTCTTTAATTCAGACAAAAGCACAACCCTGGCAGATCCTCTGATGACCAGCTGCTTCCGACAGCCACCACAGCCTTCACAGTGGGCCTCATCACACGCACATACACACACACACACACACACACACACATTTGTATACATAAATATGTGCGTGTGTGTGTCTATGTGTATACAATCATCAGGCCTTGTTTCTCTCTCTCTCTCAGACATGTACACATGCCTATGGTACAGTCAGAAGCGCCCCCCCCCAACACCCCACCAACAAACACTTACACCCATACATAATACAAAACCTCTCTGTTTCAGTTTCTCTTCTTCATGTGCTCATGAACAGTGAGGGTCTCCATGAGTAATCTTACACACTGTGCATTCTTACAGTATGTACTGAATGGCTGAAATGCTGGGTCTCAGTCAGATGGGAGCTGTCTGGGTTTTGGCAAACATCCAAACTCACCAATCTCACCAGCGAAGAAGCCAAGCCTAGCCGAGGACTCAAAATTGCCTCCGCTCCGGTCCCAGCGTGGGCCGGACACAGAGGGCCACTGGGTGCCCAGTCAGGAACATGGGTCAGCTCCAGTTCACTCCGACAAAATCAAAGGATGAGTTGAAGTGATTACTTGAAAAATGAGAAACTGAAGCACAAAACTGAATTTATGCCCAAATCCTGAAATTATTCACATGAGAGTGCAACAGTGCTTTCCTGTTTAAAGGGGAATTCAAACTTTCTGCATAATTTAATCATTGACATGTAAACAAAGTCATTCAGACTGGACTGATGTGAAATGGTTCTTCGAATAGAAACATATACAAATAGTTTTTTTTTTACAGTGATGGTGTTAGGAACCTGAGGACAATGCAGATATAACCATTTTGTCCCAGAATGTACAGTCAAGTTTTTATATACACTCTTTCTTTAGTACAGAAAATGGTTCTATATGGAACCATGAACACTCAAAGAACCCTTTGCATGCTTAAATGGTTCTTTTCATGGTGAAATGGATCTTCAGATTGATGGAGGATGTGTTGTATACGGTTCTATGTAGAACCTTTTTGAAAAGGGTTCTAAATAGCACCAGAAAGGGTTCTTTTATTTGTACGATGTCAAGCTTGATGAAGAATGCGTTGTATAAGGTTCTATATAGAACCATATAAAACACATTCTCCATCAATCTAAAGAATGCTTTCATGACCGCCAAAAAATTGTGACCTTTCACCTGCATAGTAAATAAATATAATTTAAAAATAATTACACAATCTAAATGTAGACATTTTTATAACCTAGAAACTGTTGCTGTTCTCAGAACAGAAATCCAGTTCATAAAAGAGGTGAGACAAGGAGACTATCAAATGCTAACCCAGTGCAGGCTGGGCTTGACCACCCCCACCCAAACCCACACACATGCCCAACCCCAAGGCAAGCAGGTCAGAGTTAGACGATACGTCTGGTTCTCACAGACGGTCAATCGCACAGTGACATAATAGGCTTTTCCACAGACACTCTCTCTCTCTCTCACTCTCTCTCTCTCTCTCTCTCAACCCCACAGAGTGACACTCGGCCGCCCAGCTATCAGATCGATTTCTGTGCCTGAATGTGGATAAATGGCACCAAACCAGCACCAGGGGAAAGAAAACAACACACACAGTGACCACACCATAAGAAGGCACGAGTCCCACCAAGAGTGCTTTTAAATACATTCATACATCATCAAAAGATCTAATAACACCTGAGCAGACTGCATAAAAAGGCCAATGCGCCAGGCCACACTCTTACACAAAGAGTTCTCTGAGTGATGCCACAGAAGAACCGCTTTTGGTTCCTTAAAGCAATGAAATTTGTGAGTGTGAAGAACCTTTGCAAGGCTTAAAGAACCTTCACGTTATATTGATCTAAGAATTCTTCCTAGAACTTTTATATTATGTGGAGGTCAAATTTCTTCACATTTAGAACTATCCACTAAAAGGTTCTTTAGGCAACTAAAAGTGATTCTTTTACGGCCCTGCACAAAGAACCTTTGTTCTTGCATCTTTATTGTCTTATGTGTACATGTAGATGCAAATAGGATGTGTAAATGTGAATTATCATGGGAGTCAAATATGATATCAATAATGTATTTAATAATTTAATTCAAGTAAGTTTCAGACAAGTAGGGCCTTACCAGTTTGGATGGTCCGATCAATACTATCGGTATTAGGCGATAAAATAGCTGATAATGCTCTGATGAAGAGAAAAAAATTAAAAATTATGAAAAAGTGATAAACAAAGATAAAAAGCGTAACACATCCTGGATAGCTACACTCCCACTGCTGCAATAATGTTACTATCGCTGTTAAGAAATGACATTAAGAAATATAGGTACCACTTTAAAATAAGACTACCCTTATAAGTGGTTCATTAATGGTTTAAAATGCATTTACTAATGGTTATTTATTAGGTCTTAAAGACGTTAAAATAATTAATAAGCATTTACAACACATATATAAAAAGAGCAACAGTGACCTGTTGTTTGCCTAACCATGAACTCACGTTCATTTATACTGTCAAACTTCAGATTTTGATGTTTACTGATCTTGTCTTTTTTTATCAGTTAGCATTAAATACATCACAACTTATATATATATATATATATATATATATATATATATATATATATATATACTTACATATTCATCAGATATAATAGCTCACTTTTGACCTTCTTATTAATGTGTTATAACTGCTTATTAATAATTTATTAAGTGTTTATGACCTAACTAATGACCAATGACAAACATTTTTGAAACCTTTTAGAAACGCTTTATGAAGTTAGTCTTACTTTATTAAAAGTGGTACTGAAATATGATAATATGACAAAAACTAGTGCAGCATTATTGGGCTTTATTCACAAATATATTCCCATGTTTTTTTTTCTTAAAAGTGTTTTTGAGGTCCTAAGAAAAAGTCTACGTCAGATTCCTGATATGTTCTTAAACCACAGAATTGTTGGCACTTGTGCTCTTGAGTGTGTGTAGATTCTATTCTCACCTAAAAACAATCCCAAATAAGAAAACACTGGCAAATCTTTGTGAAAACTGTGTGAGTTTTAAGAAGAAATTTATTTTGAAAATGGTTGGTGAATGAGGCCCATTGGTATAATTTATAACCCCCTAAAATCAATACTGGCCACCAAATTTTCACATTGCTCAGGCCCCACACTCAAGTACTTCATGTTTAAGATATAAATTTTGGGATATAGTCAACAATGAATGTGGATTAAACCACAGGCTTGTTTGTATATTCCATTTAATGGACACAAGCTTGGTTCTTGAGAAACCAGCTCCGTAAGCCACTTGTGACACCTCGCTCTAATAATGCGATACTCAGCACAGCAAACGTTTAGGATGAGAGTAAACCATAGGTCAGGCTTTATTGATTCAGGTCCAGCTGTAACTTAGCACAGGACAGGCCATTACCAATGGAAATGCTATTGAGCAGAGACGATGTTGGGGGCGGTCACTGACTGCATGGGCATCACAGGAAGCGCTGACTCAGAGCTCTAGGAATCTTTGCATTGTGGGTATTTTAATGTACTGCAGTTTGGGTAGAATATAGAGTTGGATGCAAAGGTTTGAGCACCCAAATTACTTGTTTTGTTGATTTGCTAAGTGAAAATAAACACACATCTTTCACAGAGATGCTGTTTATTTGCTGAATTTAACACACTGAAGCACTAAATCTGGCCTGTGCAAAAGTTATATGTTGTTCCAACATGTTAAATAGTAATTGTGCCTTGAAATTTGCAAAACAGTTTCACATTTCAGGCTGTTTCCTGTTACTCATTTTCACTTAGATGAACAAAACATGTAATTTGACCAGGGGTGGCCAAACACAGGAGTGTAGATCTATTATTGTTCAAAGCCCAAGTGCACTAACTGGCCAATTAGAAACACGTGCCTTGTAGCTCCACCTTACTGATGTACTGTTAGAGACTGTAGTCCTACTGTACAAGTTAGCCATCCTCTAGCCTTTTATCAGCGGTCAGTTTCTGAGCTGCTCTTGACTGGATATTTTTGGGTGGTGGACCACCTAGCAGTGACATCGATGTGTAAAAAACCCAGCAACACCACCACCAGTAACTCTACCTTGACGATGCCATGAAACTATGGTTCCATGGCATACCAATAGTTCTGTATTTGTACACCTGTATAGTGGATCTACAAGGTAGGTGGGTGAAGCTCTGAAGGGGGAAATACAAGCTGAGTGTTTCTAATCCTAAAGCTTTTCCAAGTTACAATGGCCAAAAGCATTTACAAGCAACAGGTGAACAACTGCCCCAGGTGCAAGACAAAACCTGAGCTGTTTGAACAGCTGTTGGTATTTCTTTATTTTTCCCTCTCTCTTGCCGAGGCATCAGATGGCGTGACAGCCGAGCTTGGCCCATGTCACCTGCTCTCGACGTCCCCTGATTGAATCTGATGTCAGACATCCTTAATTGAACCCCCAGAACAGAGCAAACAGGCTGTTCCGCTGCGAAAATTAAGCAGTAATCTGCATACAAATCCGGCAGCCCGGCCAGGCCTGAAGAGAAGCCATGTCAGATGCTTTCAGGCAGAGCAAAGCTCTGATCTACAGCCCACCATGTATCAAATGTCTCTATGTTAAGTGATCCTAGATGAGCAATCTCCTTCTGAGAAGGCTGATGCATACATCCTACCCATGACTGGTCTGGGCCAGTTTCTACCACGACATGGATTAGCAAATCTCACGTATTAAAGGGAGTAGCTGGATTTGGCTTAGGCATGCATGTTCTTCAACACGACTCATGGAACCACCAGGAACACCAAGCAAGTTTTAACCCAGAAGCTTTTCGATTGAACCTTGAATGTCTTGCCTTGGTGATTCATACCTTTGATGGGAATATTGTGGCAACTGCTAGTTAGGCCTGCCAGTGACAACCTGATGGACCATAATCATCTAGGTGGGTTCCTACCTTCTAAACAGCAGGTTCTCCAAAGCCCAGAGTGCGTCATCACCTCTTCGTTTTTCTTACTGGTCTCGTTTTCGTTGTTAGTCTTTATTTTGCACACTCCTCTCGAGTAGAGCCAGTAGTCCGTGCCCACCGCGATGGTCATGAGGCTAAAGGCGGCAAAGGCGCCCACCGTGGTCAGAAGCATCTGAACTCCGCGGTCAAAGAGACCCATGTTGCCGCATTCTACGAAAGGGGGACCCCCTTTCCTCTTGATGTATAGGAAGTAAATATTTGTAAATTTAAGGGACCAAATCAAGCAAGAAAATGGAGCACCGGAGTGCAGGTGGGTTGGAGGTGGGGGGTAGGGGGCAGGAGGAGAGCAGGGGCAGAAATTCCAAACTGGGGGTGGGGGGGGGATGAACCCAGCAGCAACAGAAGTAGGAAGACGACTACCTGTCTCTCTGGCCTGCGCGCTTATTTCACGAAAACTATGGTGAAAGCTGAGGTTGGCAGGATCTTAACAACTATACAGAACATAATACTAAGAATTACTAAGAAAAAGCCTCAGGATTTGAAGGCTTGACGTAATGCAGCCGTAATCCTAGTATGCTATCAAAGACTGAGTCAAGGGTGGGATAATCAATACAGATGATCCTTCCTAAAGCTCACAGCTGGCAGCTTCCTCTACCGGGCCGACGACTGGCATGCGCCCGCTACGGATCCACGGTACGTTTCCAGCCTGACTGTGGCGATGAGGTTGAGGGGTGAAGATCCAGATAGACTCCTACAGCCAGCAGACTGGCGGTGCAGCCCAAACGGCCATGCAATGCCGGTCGGTATGAGCGATGGCTAGCATTGGCTCTAAAGGCAAAGCCCACCAAATCACACGGTTCTGCCTATGGCTCTATGGCTCTGAACATCTATGAGGCTCAATATGGAGAAAGAGAGAAAAGGAATCAGGAATGGCAGGAATGAGGGTGGGGGTGCCAATATATACAAACAGCCAGCTGGAAATGAAACAGATTAAAAAAAATAAATAAGAGGTTCCCGGATGGGTTTAGACTAAACGGATGGTGGGGGGCAACATGACGATGATGAGCAAAAGGGAAGAAACCGAAGCCATAGTGAATCACCGAGGAAATCAGAGCGTAGAAATAAATAAATAAATAAACAGAAGCAAAGAAAAAAAACAAAGCAGGCAGGCTAGTTCTCCTTTTTCCTAAAATTGCGGTCCCCTGTTTCCATATGTGGCGTTTTTACTCCGTCGACGCGTCCGGGAGGGGGGCAGCGGCCACGGTCCGCGCGCGCAGGGGCAGGGGCAGCAGATCCGGGGGGGCAAGGCGAGCATCAGCGGGGCCGGACACGGGGGGCTCGAAGCTCCAGCCGGTTTTCGAGCGCTCGTGCCGGGGCTTCTGCTGTCGCCGCTTCTCTTCTTCCCCTGATGCTGAGGTTGAGGCTGATGAGGCTGAGGCTGACGATGCCGAGGCTGCTGGACGCTCTATCGCACCGAGAACCGCGCGGCCCTCGCGCCATCAACAGCCGCGATGAGGATGAGGATGGTGATGGAGATGATGAAGGCGGTGGTGGTCGTGGTGGTGGTGCTGATGAAGGAAATCACGACGCGGACAGATTTGGGGGGTGGGGAGAAAAAAGGAGGAAAGAAACGAACGAAGAAGAAGAAATAATGAGGGATAAAAATGTGGTGAACCGCGCGCGCCTCCCGCCTCTCCGGCTCTTCAGTGCGCTGCTGCGATACGAGTGGAGAGGAGGAGGAGGAAGGGGGAGCGAGGGGGGGTGAAAAAATGGACAGAGATCCACACAGCGCGCGCGCAACAGCAGAAAGAGAAGGCGGGGTAGGGGGGGTGTTCGCCGCTGTGTGGGTTATCAGTGTCAGATTTGAACGTTTATTTTATTCTTTTTTTTTTTATTCGTCCCCTTTTTTCGTCCCCCTCATCATCTGTAACGCACGCGGCCCCAATTTAGCTCTTGTTGCTAGCGAGATATGAGATATTACACATATATATGTTCATGACATATTTAAAATGAAAGAACTTTAAAAATGATAATTAATTAATTAATTAATAAAACGTAAAAAAAGATAATAAAAAATATTTATTTTTCACACTTATTTTCTTGCTAGCAAGACACTACATATTATATGATACGTTTAAAATTAAGTAAATAAATAAATAAATAAAATAAAAAAACATTAAAATATTTATTGTTTATATTTATATTTACACTATTATATTTATTTGATTTTGCAATAATTTGAATTTATTAAACCATATTTATAAATAATACATTGCGTATAACTTATTAATTAAGGTATGTTTTTTTTCCTTTTTAAAATAACTTTTAATTTTAGCTATTATTTTTTTTTTTTTAATGTTTTGTAACAAATTAGTAATAAACATGTGAGAATCAGAGAGCAGGGATTGCATCATTAGACTAGTGTTCCTGTGCGCAGGACAACAGCTGGACTAAACTAAGGCTTAACGCAGTTTGTAGTTTGTAGTTGTAAGTCCAGCCTTTCATCTTCCTCTCGTCGTTTAGTTTCACTCTATCGCGATATTTGACCCTGCTTTATCTCTCTGGGTTTCCATTTCAGTGAGTTTTGTCGTGCTGGCGAATGTTAGCGTTGCTTTCCTCAGGTGGAGCCCAGCGGCCGCACTGCTGTCCGCAGACAGAGCCGGACTGAGCGGATGGAGATGTTCGCATTTCCAGAGAGCGGCTGAAGTTTCTCGCGGTGATCAGCAGGAGCAGCAGGAGCGGACATGTTCGTCTCTGTCCGCGGTGCTGAAATGAGCAGCACCTCTCAGTCTCTCCTCTCTCTCTCTCTCGCTCTCTCTCTCAGTGACTGGCGCCCTCTGGCGACCCAATCACAAATCCAGGCTTCAGCCCTGATTCAGACATCTAGCGCTCACCTGGTTCAGCTGAAGAGGAGCTTTATTATTACATAATCTAATGACTCAGGTGTGTTCAGTCCAGATCTCACCAGCCCAGCGTTCTCCAACACACATCAGCAGACCCCAACAGCGTGATCGCAGGGACTGTTTCTAGAATGTTCTTCCCTTTCACACTCCTCTAGAACATTTTCCTCCATTCCTGTGATTCTACACACTTTAAAAAGATGGTTCTTCAAGGGTTCTTTAGTAAAGGCAATGGTTCTATTTAGAACCATGAGTTCTATATAGAACCACTTCTATACATTCTACAAATAGTTCTTCAGTTTGATGGAGAATGTGTTGTACATGGTTCTATATAGATATTTTTTGAAAATGGTTCTATATAGCACCAAAAAATGGTTCTGCTATTGTTACAGTGTCAAGCTTGTAACAATCAAAGAACCCATCTTGGTGCGTTATAGAATCATTTTCAAAAAAGTTCTATTTAGAACCATGTACAACACATTCTCCATCAATCTGAAGAACAATTTCACAATGCAAATAATCCTTTAAGCCTGAAAATGGTTATTTGAGTGCTCATGGTTCTATGTAGAACTATTGTCTTTACTAAAAACCCTTGGAGAACCAACATTTTTAAGAGTGTACTGTTACAAGCATGACATTGTAACAATAGCAGAACCCTATTTGGTGCTATATAGAACCATTTTCAAAAAGATTTTATATAGAACCATGTACAACACATTCTCCATCAATCTGAAGAACAATTTCACAATGCAAAGAACTCTTTAAGCCTGCAAATTGTTCTTCGAGTGTTCATGGTTCTTTGTAGAACTATTGTCTTTACTAAAGAACCCTTGAAGAACCATCTTTTTAGAGTGTACTGTTACAAGCTTAACATTGTAACAATAGCAGAACCCTTTTTGGTGCTATACAGAATCATTTTCAAAAATGTTCTATATGGAACTTTAAACAACACATTTTCCATTACTCTGAAGTGCCTTCTCACCATACAAAGAACCATTTGCGCATGAGATATATAGAACTCATGGTTCTAAGTAGAGCCATTGCCTATACTAAAATCCCTTGAAAAACCATCTTTTGGAAGTGTGTATAATGCTCTCCACCATTCACACTGTCCTAGAATATTTTCCCCATTCATGCTGTCCTAGAATATTCTCCCCATTCATGCTGTCCTAGAATGTCCCCCATTCACTCTCTTCTAGCATGTTCTCCCAGATTCACATTGTTCTAGAATGTTTTCCTCCATTCACCCTGGTTAACTTTGCTTGTCAGTTCTTCTGAAGTTTCATCTTTAAGTTTGCTGTGGTGCTGCAAGACTAACAAGTGCAGTGTAAAAATCCCTAAACCAATAGATTTGAAAGAAACTACAGACTGATGAAGATTCAGACATGCAGTATGCATGTTGCTAATTGGTGGGACATAAGCTTCCATTACTTGTTAGCTTCATTAGCGTAGTGGCATCAGTGCAAAACTAATGAAGCAAACTACACGCCCAACATGCTTAGGCTGCTCTACTGCATTCGAGGTGTTGTGAGGATTGGATTTTCCGCCATGCTATCGCTTTAAGATTGCTGTAAAGAGGGAAGAATATGAGATCAGCATGCTGACCCTGAGCTCCTTTCTGAATAGAGGCCCAGATATTTCAGCAGAGTTAGTGCTTTGGCCCTGGGGGGATGCAGGCATTGAAAGTGAGGCAGAGCGTGGAGCGACACTGAAGACACACAGGAGAAACCGCATGAATTAGATGATGAAGGGAATGAGGGAGAGGGAAGAAGTGGAGGGAAAGATGAAGAGAAAAAGGTGATACAAGAAAAGCAGTCAGTGAGAAAGAAAAAGGAAGGAGAGGGAGGAAGAGAGAGAGAGAGAGAGAGAGAGAGAGAGAGAGAGAGAGAGAGAGAGAGAGAGAGAGAGAGAGAACGTCTCGCATGAGTAAGGCTCAGACAGCTAGATTAGCTTTTCCCTCAGTAATGCCCTCCGTCTGTGGAGTGGAGGCAGAGGACACGCTTAACATTCAAGTCTGCAAACGAAACACTCTCAACCAGTCAGCGATACACCACACAGATAGAGAGAGAGAGAGAGAGAGAGAGAGAGAGAGAGAGAGAGAGAGAGAGAGAGAGAGACAGAGAGAGAGAGACTGAGCAAAAGAGTGAGTGGAGAGAGAGAGAAAAAGAATGAGGGGAAGGAGCCAGAGAAAAAGAGAGAGAGAGAACAAGAGGGGAAGGAGAGAAAGGATAGAAAGAAAGAGAAGTAATAAGAGGGAGAGAAATAGGAAGAAGAGAGGAAGAGAAAATAAGAAGTAGAGAAGTAAGAGAGAGAGAGAGAGAGAGAGAGAGAGAGAGAAGAGAAAGAGAGAGAGCAAAAGAGAGGAAGAAGGGGAGATGGGAGAGTGAGAGAGAAAGAGAGAATGGAAAGAGAGAGAGGCGAGAGAGAGAGAGAATGGGAAGAGATAACAAGGGGAAGGGAAAGGAGCTAAAGCAAGACAGAGGATAGAGAGAAAGAAAGGGAAGGAGGGAGAGAGAAAAAACAAAAGCAAAATGGTGAAAAATAGTGGAGAGAGAAGAGGGAGGGAAAGGAGCTACAGGAA